TTGCTCTGCCACCCAGGCTGGAGTGCCGTGGCATGATCTTGGTTCACTGTATCCTCCACCTCCCAGGTTCAAGTGATTCTCCTGCCTCAGCCTCCAGAGTAGCTGGGACTACGGGTGCACGCCACTACACCCAGCTAATTTTTGTACTGTTTCAGTAGACATGGGGTTTTACCATGTTTGCCAAGCTGATCTTGAACTCCTGACCTCAAGTGATCCACCTGTCTTGGCCTCCCAAGTTTCTGTGATTACAGATTTGAGCCGACATGCCTGGCCAGGATGCACTTTTATTCATTTAATAATTTCTTCACAGTTTTGATGTCTATTTCACTATGGAGAATGATGCTATCGTGAGCATTCTCGGGCTTGTAGCTGTCATTCTTTTGTGCAAGTACTGGTGGCTAAATTCCTAGAAGCAGAATTGCAGAGTCAAAAGTATGACATTTTAAACATTATCTAATTACCCTTCCAAAGAGTCGTACCAATCTGCATAGCCATCAGCAATAAACTCAAATGCCGTTTCCCCCCGTCTTCCCCGCTACCATTGGCATCCTTCGTCCCACCAGGGCTGCTAATTTCAGTGGACCCCTTTTCTTCTGGGAGCTTTGTTTTCTCAATGTGAAATAGGGATGGGACAACGATAATGACAGCAACTGTCATCTGCCGAGCTTCCTCTGCCTGCTTTACATGATCCTTTCTTTAATCCTCCCGAAGACATACAAGGTAGAAATCATCTTTCCACGGATGAGAGCACTGAGAGGAAAATGGAGCTGAAATTGCTACTGTACTCTGACGTCAAGAAACTTCTTGGCTGGGTGTGGTGGCTCCCACCTGTAATCCCAGCACTTTGGGAGGCCTAGGAGGGTGGATCGCTTGAGCTCCGGAGTTTGAGACCAGCCTGGGCAATATGGCAAGACCTCGTCTCTACAACAAATATAAAAATTAGCTGTGTCTGGTGGCACGTGCCTGCAGTCTCTCCACTCAGGAGGCCAAGGTGGGAGGATCACTTGGACTGGGGAGATGGAGGTTGCAGTGAGCTGAGATTGTACCACTGTACTCCAGCCTGGGTGACAGTGAAACCCTGTTTCATCAAAAGAAAAAAACTCCTCCTTAGAGCCTGCCTAAGGGTGAGCAAGAAAGCTGTACAGATGCGGGTCCCCCAGAATTTGGGACTTTTCGTTGTCACAGCTCTGTTGAATATTATGGTAATTACCTGTTTGATGCCTGGTCACAGTTTAGAGGGATGCTTTCCCAGGGAGGCTCTGTAGGAGGAAACAAAGTTCCACCAGCCACCCCCTTCTTTTTTTTTTTTTTTTTTTTTTTTCGCTCTTGTTCACCAGGCTGGAGTGCAGTGGTGCAATCTCGGCTCACTG